ACATTGTTTTAGTAATATCGTTAGTCATGAACACAACCTCATAATTTCATGTTGCTCGGTTGATAATTCAGATATCTAGGAATAGTTTGGTCAGATTTCGTCATTTCGGAAACGTCATTACGGAAACAGTTTCTTAGATGTAAAATTGTTTCCGAACTGACGGTTTTGTTTCCGAGATGACGTTCATTTCCCTTTAACGTTTTTGGTGATCAACATGACATCTTATTTCAGAATTATATGGGGGCGCAAAGATTTATCGATTTAAAGAAAAAATTGAAACGGGATCGCGAGTTGGCGTACGTGAAAATGGAAACAAACAAAAAAAAGAACAAAGATCGAAGAAAAACTACTGGGAGTTTGAACTTTAAAATTAAATTAAGGATGAATAGCAGAAATGTTGATCAAACTGAATTAAATAGGGATAATAATATGGCCTCAATTTCCGAAAATATTCCGAAATTTCTGGAAAACGAGCCCAAGAAATAAACATCCCAATACCGGAATAGATTTAACTGTTATTTTTTTATTACGAAGATTCCCATGTACTTTAAAAATATACAGGAAATAAGTTCGAACTTCACTGCAAGTGGACACGGTAAAGGCCCAATGGATGGAGTAGGAGGCACTGTAAAGCGAAAAGCTGACAGTTTAGTTTTACATGGTCATGATATTTCATCGGCTTAAACGTTTATTAATAAGGTTTCGATAGACAGTTCTATAAAAATTTGGGAAGTGGCTAGTGAAGAAATACAGAAATGTAAACTAGATATGCCAGAGGGTGCTTCTGCTGTTCCACAAATTATGGCTCTTCATTAAATAACATGGTCCAAAGAAAAACCTACGGTTACATTGTTGAGGGAGATTAGCTGTTTTTCTTGTCCTCTTGGAGGCAGATGTTCACACTTCAGTCTAAAGATACCTATAGTCACTTTATTGCCGGAGAAAAAAAGTAATGAAGTGAAAAGGAAAAAAGTAAGGTCGACTTGATGGATAATAAAAAAAATATAAAAAGAGAAAACAAAAATAAAAAAGGTAGAGGAAGAAAGTATGAGCAGATTGTCACCAGGTACAACAAGTATAGTTCGTTTGGTACCAGAAAATCAGAGTTTGGTCAGTTTGTTTCCAGAAAGTATCCTTTTTAACACAAATACGATTTCTTATATTTTCTTTATAATCGATCTTTATCTGCTCGATATCTATATTATGATCTATATCCACTCCCTTAATTATCTAACCTAGATTCGGAATTATTAGAGCCTAAAAAGAAAATTCATGTCATATCCGAAGTTGTAATAGTTCCACCACAAGAACCGATGGTCAGTTTGTTGCCGGAGAAACGTAGTTCATTACCAATGTCAAAGAGTTTCCCCTACGGGAATCCAAAAACTAGAAAGGGCAGTTTGTTGCATGTGGAAGAAAGTATTGACAGGCTATCACCATGGACAAGAAGTTTAGTCAGTTTCGTGCCAGAGAATCCGAGTGTGGTCAGTTTGCTTCCCGCAAGTATCCTTGTTAATGAAAATTCATTGTTTTGTGTAAATTTTGCATTTCTTTAATACTCGTCTTTTATTTGATTCGATATCTATAGCTATTCTCGTTTTATTTTATTTCACTTCCTTAATTAATAAACTAGATATTAACCTAGGCGCGGAGCCCAACAGGAAAACTAATATTGGATCAGAAATTGCATCCGCTCCTCCACAAGTATTCCCTCAAAACAAGAAACTAGAAGCAGGCCTACGTTTTATATGTACATTTCAAATATCAACAAAAACTATGGGTATCGAATGCAAACAATGTCGTCGATCGTACCATATTAAATCCATTTTGAAGCATAATTTAAATAAAAATGAAAATGTTTCTTTTTGCCCATCGTGTTTGCTTAATGAAGAATGATTTATATTAAATTCTTCGTTCATTTTAATTTGTTCATTACTTATGTTTTATGTTCAGTGTTCAATTTTTGAATAAAAATGTTTTGCAGATATTGTAGGTAGTTTTATATTAAAACGTTTTGACAATATGGCAATACATTACGTCATTTCGGCAACATAACGTCATTTCGGTAACGGTACATTTTGTATTAATAATTATAAAATAAATCGATCTAAAACAATAAATGGTATTGAGAAAATGAACCAGGCTCATATGTCAATCATACTATAAAAGCGAAAGTTGACAACCTAAATATCATCGAAATTTGAAATTAAAACTCAGCTTTTTAAATGACGCCTAGAATAAATACCTCTAAATGCGTTCAATAAATATAACTTTGAAACAAGTAGCCAGATTACATTCTATTTGCAAATACCTGACCATGTACTACAAATTATATACAATTTTACTGCAGAAATTATACTAAACAAAAAATTTTAGGCAAGTTTTCAACCGTTTCCGAAATGACGATTTTTGTGATACTAGCAAATATAAATGCTTCTAATTTTTAATCTATTAAAAATCTTTCGTGGCCACTCTTATATATGTTTTTACTAAACATGAACTTATTCAAAAATTACAAGTTTGTTGGTGATGGATGAAGTTCGATTTCTGATTTATAATTTTCAGATATTGTCCCGTTATAAAATTATTACCCTGATATTGTATTCTATTGATGAAATTACTTCTAAATGAAAAATATGTTTCTCTAAATTGAAGCTTATTTAAATGCAGAAATTATATTTCATTCAGTGTTTCTCCGTAAGGATTTTAAATAGAAAGTGTGAGATCGCGAAGAAGTGCAAAGGATATATTTAATCATTAATTTTCATTAATCGTTACGGGAGAATTGTACTTCAGTGTTTAAAGCATTAAGATAATAAATAGGACTTATCTAATAGTTTTGGATTCGAGTGCCACTTGTTGAAACATAATGTTTTATTAATTATCCCCAATATATGGTTAAGAAAACTGTGCAGTATAGCATAGTTTTAAATTTAGTTTTTTTTGTTGGTTCGAGGTCTTTTTTTAAAGAAAATTTTTTAATGAACATTTTGATAACATTATTACTATCCTAATGGCACTACAAGATACATAGTGAATCAGGAATAAACTGAAGAAAAACCTAATAGGCTCAATTATACTAAGGATTTTTCCAAAATATAAAAAAAAATCGGTATGTTAGATTTCGAGAAAAAAAATCATAACATTTGAAGGGTAAAAACCATGTTCGCCTATGGTTTATTAAAGCGAATTTGTATGTTTTAAGTTATGATTTAACTGATTGAAATCAATGACAAAACCTTTTTGTGCAGCAAAAAGTCTACACAAACTTGCGATTGCATAATTGGGTGTATTTCTTCTCAGTGCACAGTGGTTTCCCATCCATAGTAAGATGCGACAAAAATATAAAGTGCATATGTTTTTATGATTAAGACAAACGCAATTTGGCATAATAGATATTTATTAAAATAAAAAAAAAACAAAAAAGCAATACACAATGTACACTTGATTTCAATAAAAACTGGTACACTTTCTTTTAGCTATGTAAATCATTCGTTCTTTGATTGATATTAATAATCTTACAAATGTCACTTTGACGTTAATCAGTGGCGTCATGATTAAACATGGTTCGACATCTAACAGATATTCAAAAATTTTGAATTGTTTCTAAAATTGAAGAGGGTTGCTCCATAAGAAGATGAAAATCTTATAAATTACCTAATAGAAAACCCTTTTTTAGACTGCAGTAAATGCAATTTCAGAGACAAATTTCCCTGCTTCGGTATCTACTGCTTGCAGAAGAATAAAACTATAAAGCGACTTGAAGAGTTGTTCAGCGGCTAAAAAATACAAACTTTCAGAAGAAAAGATGCAGGGTAGGATTATTTTTGCACTCAACTATATAATCAATGATGAAAACTTCTGGGGACAAGTTGTCTTTTCTGACGAAAAGGTTTTTAAATCCTGTAACGATGGACATGTTCGCGTATATAGGCCTCTTTCCACTAGATACGATGAAAAATATACTTTCGATCCACAAATATCAGGAAGGTTTTCAGTCAATGAATGAGCTTAAATGGGTTAGGTGTGTGTTGGAACAGTGGTGGTCATCTCAATTCCATTAAATATATTGAAATATTAGACAACATTATGTTGCCGTCAGTAACAGAGGTGTTTCCGGAAAATAATTTTATTTTCCAACAAGACAACTGCTCCATACATACGGCCCATTGTGTCAGGTAATGGTTTCTTAATAAAAACATAGAGTTGTTACCGTGGCCATCTAAAAGTCCGGATTTAAATCCAATTGAAAATGTATGGGGACTAATGGTGAAACATATAAGAAAATTAAATAACCATCCAAATAATGCCCAAGAATTGGAAGGGATAATTGAAGACGCTTGGGAGAACTTGTCGCAAGAAGTTGACCTGGCAAGAAACCTGATTTTGTCCATGCTTGCAAGACTTCAGGTAGTTTTAGACGCTAATGGAGCAATGACAAAATATTAGTTAATTCTGTATTACGTAATTGAAGTTCATTTATTTTATTTTTTTATTGTATTTTTTATGTTCAGTTTGCATTGTTTACATTTTCTTTAATCTCAAGTGGTATTTTTTGTGTTCTTATTTTAAAAATAGAATTATCATTATTCAGTTAGTATTTTAATTACAACCATTAGTAGAATTATCCGTAACAAATATTATTTTTTTTTAAACAATAATATGGCAGGCTTGAAAATGTTTTGAAAAAGTTATTGTCTAATTATTTTTTAAAATTCCATTTGAATAAAATAAAAGAGAAAGGTTTAATAAGTTTAAAAACACAAAGAAAACCGATCTTATCCAAAAAACCCAGGTCCGGGATAAATCACCTCTTCTCCACCCCCCTCTCGACATGCCTGGCCAGCCCTATTTACAGACATATTGACACCACAGGTAATACAACCCCATTGATCCCTGAAGGTACCTCAAGGTACCTTGTGCGGGAGAGGGCTACACAGTTAGAGAAAATGGACACACACCCAATGTCCGAGTATGCTCGGATTAATTTCAGGTTTAGAAAAAATCCTCGGGGATCGAACCCGGGACTCCAGGGTGAGAGGCAAGTGTCCTTACCACTCGACCACGACGTCACAACTCACACATTAAATAAATTTGGAAAAATAAGCTATTGTTATGAAACACAGCTAACTATTAATACTAATGAAATTTTAACAGAATTAACTTAAATTATTGTCTATGGTTTTTTACTGATGGTATTCTATAATGTTTCTTCTTACATTTTTTGAGTATTAAGTCACTGTGCGATAAATTTAATGTCAGTGAGTCAATGTACGACTCACTGAACACAAGAATTACGATAGGAAGGGAACATTTTAAAAATCAAAAATATGTGAACACGCGTGGAATAGCAATCACATTCACATATCCGTGTCAGTTTTTTCCAGAACATTAAGCCAAATATCAAAAATATATATGTGTGGGAACACGTACTGATGGCTTGTATCTATAACAAAAAAATCTAATTACTACAAGTAAACCAGCAATCAAACTACACAATAACTGGCAAAGACAGCACGTGTAGCATGCGCGTAGACATGCGTACGTCTACGCAGCACTTAAATTACTCGAAAAGTCGGAAACAGTTGAAAGAACCGTTCAAAAATTTAATGAAAGTAAGATGTAAGCTATCTGTAGCACAAAATTTCTTTCGGAACAATAAACGACAACTAAAACACTAAAACAAATTGTGAAGAATCTAAAAAAACATACATAAAAAACTGCAAGTCGTAACAGTCACACTAGGGCGCTGTATTAGACGGGTAATATCGTTCGCCATTTTGGGTCCAGCTGGTTCGAAGGAAACAACGCGGTGTATATATAAATACAGGTATTCGTGTCCGAAATATTCAGTTTTCAACAAATTTTAAGATATTTTATTGAGTGAAAACGACAATTATGAAAAATTGATTGAATTCCGTGTTTACATTGAAAATTGAGGTTATGTTTTTAAATGTTAATTTTGGTTTGTACATTAACTACTAATTATAAAAAAGAAATGGTCAGGCGTAGATAAAAATAAAATATCTTAAAACTTGCTCAAAACTGATTATTACGGACACGATTGCCTGTATTTACATATACACCGCGTTGTTTACTTCGAACCAACTGGACCCAAAATGGCGGACGATATTACCCGTCTAATACAGCGCCCAAGTCACACTACAACTACAATGACCCACAAATGTTGTACATACTTTGCTCCTGAATTTCCATTTGTAAAACACTTGACACAAACACCCTATTTCTAAAAATAATTTAGCGAACAATTAGATTATAGTAACATGAGTGTCTGATAAGGCGGTCACTTTGTTCGATGCATTCACTTCTGATTACTAAAAAGGACCGATTGCAATTTTAAAATTATAATTAATTTATAGTTCCATGAAGCTCAGACTTAGTAGGTGTTATGACTATAAGAAAGTATGAAATATATTGACATGACTTTTATTTTTGTCATATATACATTGTCAATTTGATTTCTTGACAATAATTCGGGATAAAACTTGAAAGAAAATAAAATGGATTTTATTTCAAATGGAAAAACGGATATAGTGCTCGTGTACGGTAAAGTAATAGATAATAGTGTCGCGGCTCAGAGATTCTAAGCTGAACGGTTTCTTGTACGTTGCCATCCCAATCACGAAACGTTTCGAAGTGCAATGCAACATCTTCGAAATTTCGAAACATTTGTAACTCAAGTACATTTGCGGGGACATCCCTATAATTGCACAATGCTACAAACTGAGAAAGAAGTGTTGAATGCCCTTTCATCTTTGTGGCCACAATTTTGCCTCCTAAAATCCTTTTGCGCACTTAGTCGGGTGACCACAGATATACTAGGCGTGACCAAACGCTGGCTCAGATACGGACTCGCACAATTGTTTTAATTGCACAATGGCGGATTTGCCCACAAAAATCATATATGAAAAATAATAGGTAGGCTTAAACATTTTCACAATCATATAATATTTTACTTCAGAAAAGCGCCGTATTGGCAGTTTTTGTCAAACATAAACACTTGAAAGCGTGAAACTTGAAAATTAGGTTACCACACCACACGCTCGAAAATTGAAATATGTTCATTTCATTCACATTCTGCACTGGAGCAAACTTCAACATTCCTTATTTGCATTGACGGCGTCTCTGTTTATCGACACTAAACTGCAACCACGTCTAGTAGAATGCGTTTTACAACTACTAATTTGATTGTTTATTTCCCACGCATCCATCCACATATATTTAATGGGCCAAACGCATAAAATTTGGGGGTAGGCAAAAAACAAAACCTAAACCCATCAATTGAGCGAAGTGAACTGTCTTTGTTAGCCTTTGGTAGAAGGTCGGTTTTGTAGTTTGAAACATCGAAGTATGGCGAATATTATGGGAGTAAGGCTTACATGCCTTACATGTTCAACCTATGCGTGAATCTTTAGAATCCCTCAAGATGCCTAGAATATTCTCGGTAGCTTCTGTAAAAAATGGTTGATCATCCGAACCTTCTTCGGCTCGTGTTGTAAACCTTCAGGCTACATTTATTCAACAATGGATATTTAATATGCATAATACGCATGTTTGGTCTGAGGAAAATCCTCATGTTATGCGGGGACACAAATTTCAGGAGCGGTTTTCATGCAATGTATGACTGCAGCTCTAGGTAACACTTTGTCAGAATATTGGTATGTCACGTATTACAATATTATCCCCTTTTCCAATAGCAATAGTCATGTTTCGTTCTTCTATGAACTCATAGTACTGCAGGCTGGAGAAAGGGTTGATATCGCAATGGTTTATTAAAACCGCAGGTAATACCACGCGCCATCTCTTGAGAGAAAAACTTTCAAAATGTGAAGTTTTACGTGTTGCCGTACTTTTCGCATTCCCATCTGACTAGCAGCTAAATACATCTCTCCACATTTCAATGTTGTTATTATGTAGCGGAATCAATTCGTTTACATCCCCCAAAGTTAATGAAACAAAAACTTTCTTCTCAATTTTTGCTATTCTAATAGTTATAAATAAAATAAAGAAGGTTTAGTGCCATATCCCCCAAAAAAGAAACAATTATGCAACCACAGACACGTGTTTCGGAGTTATTGCCCCTCATCAGCGTAGTGTAGCTAGCTGGAAAGTACAGTACACAGTACTCAATTAGTGTCTTCATGTTCCCATGTGCCACATTTGGGGCCTCGATGAGCACAGTCAACACACAGAGCCCTATATTCACTGCTCATTTCCACCTGGCACATACAAATAAAATAAGATAGATTTATTGAACCCCAATAAATCTATCTTGTTATAAATAAAGATTCCCTGTAATATTATGCAATCTTAAAATTAACCTCGAAATGAATCAATGAGTTCAGGCAACGATCAACTATTTTGATAATTTATAATTACCATTCACTTTATAAATGGATAACCTAGGCGCCGGAGATAAAAAATGGGCTGAGCAAATTGATAAAATAGAAATGAGACTTTGTGGATAGCGACTTTTATTAAAAAGAAGGAAAGAAAGTGGGAACCAGCCACAATCTTGGAAAAGGCAGTTTTTCACAAATAACTCGGCTAAGATTAAACTTAACGATTAGACGGTAGTTATCAAAATTAAAATTACGAACAAAATAGCACGTGATTGTTCTAGGTATCATTGTTGCTGAGTAAATATTGAAAGTATCAGAGAGATATTTTTCATTTCACATTTTTCATGTATACGCTTCAAAACCAGTTTTGCTCAAGATCATCTCCTAACACATGTTTTTCTGGTGGTCTTGACGTTTCAGAACGCAAATGTCATACCATTATTGACAAGTCCGGCTGAGTCTTTTCTTGCTTGCGGTCGTTTTTTTTTTTTAAAGATTTCGGAAAAAATGAAAGTTGAAGAGCAGTGTTTTATTTGTAATCAAAGTTTATTGGCAGGAAAAACTGAGCATGTGACAACTTGCAATCGATGAATTTAATATTAGCCGAGATATTTGTTGGAAACTGTGAAAAGGAAACCATTTTCCAAGATGGTGACCGGGTCCCGATGGTCCCCACTTTTTTTTTATGAAAGAGCACCCTAGAAAATCCAGATCAACAAAGTTTTATTTCTATTTTGTCAATTGATTCGATTTTTCTCAGGCGAATAGGTTAGTAAAAAATCACAGGGTTAGGTTTTCCGGACTGGGTGGCAATTTGAAATGAAATGAAATTGTATGTATGTAATGCATAACGCAAAAGCAACGACCTTATGGTAAAATAATCTGAAGACTTATTGCATGGTTGCGTACATCTCTGAATTAAAACTGTTAGTATAATTTTGAAGCAGATTTTGCTACCTATTACCTCGCAATGCCACACAATTTGTAGCGAAATTTCCCGTTAATCTTGTTACTAAAATCCTTACAATAATTTATGTAGGTATTTTGTACAATTTTCTACACATTATAGTTGATTTCTTACTTTGACGTAAATGGTTACTTTTACCATCCTAAGAGAACAATTAGTCAAACAGTATTTGTTGTTTTTTAACTACAACAATTTTACTGCAAATGTTTATAGTATTTTCATATGTACTATACGACAATGAATTACAAACTTTGATCAAAACAACTACAATTCTCATAAAACAATGTTGTTGTAAAATAATTAACGCGTTTTCTTTCCGTGTTGTCGGAAAAAGCAAACATACTCTGTTATTATCTAAAGTGTGATTTTTGTTTAATATTTGTTTGAGTGATAGTTTAATTGAGGTTGAGGTACTTTGTGTGATTAAGATTTTAGTTTTTTTTTTGTTGTTTATTGTGTATTCAGCTTGCATAAAATTATGATAAAGAAATATATACAGGGTGTCCCAACCAAAAGTAGACACCCTGATACCTTTGGAGATACAAATTTTTTTGAAAAATTGGTGAAACACGTCGTCCAGGGGGGACATATTTAATGTAATATTTGTATACCTATCATCATCCCTCTACCCTATACGGCTACTCCCTCAAAAAATTCAAATGGCAAAGGGGGTCGAGTGATACATCTTTAAAGGTCTTTCAGTTCCCTACATAACCCTGTATTTTTTTAAACTTTTATCGAT